TTTCATTGGTGAAATATATTAAAATAACAATTTTCTCTCCGTAAAAAGTTTTAAAGAATCATCTGTATTTGAAATGTTCTCTAGATTAATCTCTAAAATAGAAAATCTATTGAAACAATATAAAAAATAAAAATTATATTTTATTTATTTTAAAAGATATGTTAAAAATACTTTTTAAGCTTAAAAATAAAAAGAAAAAAGAAAAATTACATCCAACATAAAAAATACGTTGGAATTATTAAACTAATAGCAACAAAAACCTTGGTACGAGTTATTTGACCAAATGCCGATGTAGGAATTACTTTTGAAAGCGACCATGTAATATTTCTTAATTAAAAATTTTATCTATTTATTTACTAATAATTTTTATAATTTTTTTTTTGTAAAGGGATCCGGGCCAACGCCCGACTAATCCCCGGCAATTTTGCAGGCTAAACATGACCCCACTTAAATGTCGTCAACACTCCCCTCTCAGACTCGAACTTGGGTTTATGACTATGCCATGCCCAAACCTTTACCACTAGGCTGAAAGGTCTTTGACAATTTTTATAAAATATTTCGTGACTATAAATTATAATATTTTATTTTATTTTCTTAAAAAGAATTTTAGATAGTTCATATTCAAAATTGAAGTACTATAAAAGGTATCTTAAAATATTATTTGTATTTTTATTATTTAACTTTTTGCCTTTATTTATCGATTTATAAATATTTTACGTTGAAAAAAGGGCATCCAACAAAAACCCAACTACCTTACACTCACGAAAGAACAAATTCGCCACATCTTCTCAGAGGTGGCATTTAAGAATTGACATATATCTGTATAATTTGAATAATACCTTTTTTTTTTTAGTAAAGTGCATAAAATAACAATACATTTTTATAGATTTTATACAACAATGTATTTTTATTATAGTATTATATTTTAAAAAATTTACTTATTATAATATTGGGTTATCTTTTGATTTAAATTTACTTATTATACAAAGTTTTCATGATACATTATTGTTCACGTAGGTTGTTCACATATACAATAATTGATGTATCATTTCTTATTGCAACATTGTACTTTCAAAATTATTTTATTATAACATTTGTTTCTTCTTATTACAACATCGTACTTTTATTTATAATATTTTATTATTTAGATAATTTACATATTATTTAATAAATATATTAAATGAATTTCAAATTTATAAATT